ATGTTGTCAGTGTCCTGCCTTGGAAGATATCGTCCATGCTCTATAGACAACAATAAGGTAAAACGTTTTTTTTTTAAGCAAGGAAACTAGGTGTGTTATCCATGCCGTCACGTAAAAGGTATCGCAGTTTAACACCTTCCATGCAATCTGCCTAATGTGTGAAATGGACGAAGGAAAACAAGGAAGACTTACGGTGCACCTCCGGCACTTCCACCGCCGCCGCCGCTGGCACTTCCGCTGGAACTAGCAGCGCCTCCAAAACCAGTGGCGGCCCCGCTGGAACTAGCAGCGCCTCCTAAACCACTGGCAGCCCGCTAGAACTGGCAGCGCTCCGGAGCCACCACTGGCGGCCCCACTGGAACTGGTGGCGCCGCCAAAGCCGCCAGAACTAGCTCCACTGGAGCTTGTGGCACCGCCAGCGCCGCCGGCTCCGAAACCTCCACCGGCTCCCCCAAGACCTCCAAAGCCGCCAACACCGCCAGCGCCGCCTGCTCCCCCGCTGAAGCCTCCGCTACCAGACCCTCCGACACCACCGTGGAAACCTCCACTACCGCCGCCAAGTCCTCCGGCTCCGCCGCTGAAGCCTCCGCCAGCAGAACCTCCACCAAGACCGCCGGCGCCGCCAGTGAAACCTCCGCTGCCTCCCGCTCCGCCACTGAAACCTCGCCGGCTGCCCCTCCTGAGCCCCCGCCGAAACCTCCGCCATGACCGGCTGCGCCGCCGCCGAAGCCTCCGCTACCTCCCGCTCCGCCACCGAAACCTCCGCCGGCTGCCCCCTGATCCGCCGCCGAAACCTCCGCCGGCTGCCGATCCGCCGCCGAAACTCCGCTGTCTGCTCCCCACCGAAACCTCCGCTGCCTCCCGCTCCGCCTCCGAAACCTCCTGTTCCGCTGCCGAAACCTCCACGAGACCTCCGCCATGACCGCCAGCTCCTCCAGCAGCGCTACCGAAGCCTCCGCCTCCACCTCCAGCCGTGGCCCCGAAGCCTCCTCCACCTCCGCCAGAGGTGCTGCCGAAGCCTCCGCCTCCGCCTGTCCCGAAGCTGCCTCCGCTGCTGCTGCCGAAGCTGACGCTGGAGCCGTCGAAGGTGCCGCCGCTGCTGCTGCCGAAGTTGCCGCGGGGGACGTTGCTGCCGAAGGAGCCGCCGCTGCTGGTGTCGAAGCCTCCTCCCAGGAGGTTTCCACTGCTGCTGCTGCCGAAGCTCGTCCCGCCACCCCGCTGCCGCCACCGCCGACGCGACTTTCCGCCACCACCGCGACCTCCTCGACCCCGCCCGCGCCCACGCCGACGCCCGCCACCATACTCCTCGGGGTCCGCCGCCGCCAGGCAGAGGAGCGCCATCACGGCCGCTGCCGCCACCTGGAAGGAACAGAGAGCCACTCAGTCGCTCCCGCAGCTGCACCGCCTCATGCTTCCCTGTCTGTATTCGTGTCTCTGTAACTGCATTTAATCATTAACTTAATCACTTCAAATGTTTCCCCAGCTGCTCAGTCTAATGCTTCCGTAACTTCATTTAGTCTCGTATTTCTTTAATTGAATTTAGAATAATTAACTTTCATTACTTTAATTGCCTTGCTTCCTCAGCTGAACCCGGGCCCGTGATTCCGTAGTTGAATTGAATCTCAGTTTTAAACCGAATTCATTAATTACTGAATTCGACCCTTATTGCCATCACCTCATAGACTTGCACTCTCTATATTCTCTGAGGTGAATTTTCTAATCACTTTCTATCATCAATTCAGTCTAACGTTTCCTCAGTCCAGCTCAAACTAACACTTCCTCAATCGAATCAAATGCAACGTTAATTCAGTTGATTTCAGAAATCCATCTAACATTTCCTCAAATTGAAGTCGGTCACATTTTCTCAAGCGAATACGGAAAGTGCACTTACCAGAGTGCGGGAGAACTTCATGCTGTTTCTCGGTTCCTTGAGGTTTCGAGATAATGTGGTATCAGTTCGGTTTCCCTTCTGTATTTATATTCACTTATCCCTTCCTCAGACCTACGGCACGAGCAGTTGCCAGGTATTGTATAACGATCGAGTATTACCACCACACCAAATAGAAAAGATTGATATTCAATATACTTGCATCTTATATATCTTAATTACTCTTCGAAAGGGGAGGGTATTTCTTTTCTAATTACCTACCTCCATCAAAAGAGTAATTAATAGCAAAATGTTGCGAACACACACATTATCAAACGAAACAAAAAAAAAAGAATAAAAGATAGATGATGGGAAATCCAGTTCCGTCAAAATTGTGTTTAGTCACGAGGACGACCTGGCTTGCCATTTCGACTCGCGTCTTGAGATTTCCCCGGTCGCGAGAATGTCTTTCGAAAAGAACACTGGCTTTCCAGATCGCTTATTACGTTATTCATCGTATTGTTATTCATATATTTCACTTATGTATTCTTCCGTTTCGTTATAACGCTGAAAACTTCGATATTAAGTTTAACCAGTGGAGATCGAGGTGCACGATCGACGTGAGAAACGAAC